CCCGCTATCCTGCTTGTAATACTCCGGAAATAGAGTTTGCCCAATTCGACGAAAGACCGCATTCTTCGTCTCTCCTTGGATGTCCTGCACCGCCGTTGAGACAGCTGAAGTGGTCTCATTGATATTTACTTACCTCGCCACCCTGCGGACCAAAGAGAACCTTCCTGTTCTCCGATTTTTCGCATTCAGTCAAGAGTGCGAAGACCCAGTACCAGCCGTTGGCATGCCAGGGTATCGGGGGTATCTTCGTGGCCTTAAGCTCGGCTGATTGACCCTTATATCTCTTAGGCGGCATGTACGTATCCCGAGAGATGTGTCGGCAGCCAGGGGCTTCAAATAGATGCAGCGAGAGTGCACAAACGGTGGGCGGCGGGCAGAAGGCGAGATAGATCAACGGCGCGCGCGGCGCGTCACCGGAGCTAGATCACGTGTCTCGCCGGGAGTGCGAGCTACAGCAGGACCGGTGCGAATACCGCCAGAGCTCCGATCCACACAGCCACCAAAATCCCCGAAAAACGCCCGTTTACGGGCGCGAGCTCCGATACCAAAACCCCGAAAACATGGGGGTAGAGGGCAAAATGTTACATCCTGGTCTGCTCCGAAAACAGGCGACTAGGAGCGGGGTTCGATCCAAGATCCCCGAAATTGGAGCCCAGACGTGACAACCGCTAGGCTATGGGACACTGGCTGCGTACACATCCAGAAAATTATTGCCTGTTTGGCATGCGCAAATTCGAGTCCCCACTGCGCTCATCTACTCACTATACTTTTAGAGCTCGTCATGTCCCGAATTGCTTCCACCACCATTCTCTCCACCGATAGGCACAATCAGGCAGGCTTCAAGTGCTTGGCGCACGTACAAGGATCTTGTCCGCTGCATCCAGGACGTGCTAATAAAGAACATGGAAGAATCTCTGAGAGCTGTGAAGTCCCCGAACAGGCAAACAATGGGAGCAAGCAATGAGAATGGCGGGAACATGGACAAATCGAGCACGGAGACGGAGACGGGGATGTGAACATAGTCGGGATCTGGACCCGATTGAGATGACAAGGAGTGCTCTGGTGCACAACTAGGTACACTGAAGTGTATTAGGCGACGGTGAGCTGTGAAGCGTCTCGGAGAGCTCCGATCCCATTTTTGCCCCGAAAATCGTCAATTCGGGGCCATGTCTGATGTCAAATCCCCGAAATTCGGCCTCTTGGGACCTTCACCGGAACCCCGAAAATGGCCGAAATCGCCTCTTTGAGGGATCGGAGCTCTGGTGGGGTTCGCACCGGTCCTGCTACAGCTACAAGCTACAGAACCGGTAGCTTAAAACTGAACGGACCTAATGGACAAGGATACTCGGGACGACTTCAGCTTCGCAAAGCTCAGCGACCTCAAAGAACTTGTCACGTTTCGAATGTTCGTACCCAGCTGATTGGGGCTATCCCCGCGACTCTGATTCGCGTACAGTTCTCAGCTTGAAGGGAGGAGGCAACAGCATTCGTTTACAGAATTGCTGGAGAACCCGGACCTCAAGTTTCACGGCGTTCAGTCTTCGTGCGTACACTTCCGTACTGTCGCTCAACACGGAGAATGACGACCACAGGGTGAAGGTCGCTCTCTGACCTCTACGTAACGTGCCAACTCGTCGCCGACAACAAACCGCTCACAATTCCCTTCCGAACCTCGTTCAAAGCCTTCAAGCAGAGCTACATGTGAGCGGATTCCAGTCCACGTTGCGATCGCACTAACTATAACGTCGCGTAGATGGAACGAATGGATCACCTTGCCTATCCGGTACTGCGACCTGCCCCTGAGCGCGCAGCTGACGTTCACGATATGGGATATCGCGGGGCCACGAGCGACGGCCCCAGTAGGAGGATCAACGTTCCGGCTTTTCGGGAAGAAATGGTGCGCAGATCTGCTACACTGCTCCGCCAGACTACCCACGCGCTCGCATTTGTAGGACGTTGCGGAGAGGCAAGCATCGACTTCTCCTTTGGCCGGGGAAAGAGGCGGATGGGTCTGTTGAATCGACTACTCCAAGCAAGCTTGGTTCGAGGGATGAAATGGGAAGGTTGGAGAAGGTGCGATACCTCGTGCTAGCGTACCCACTTTCGATGTTGACGTTCCATTCAGTTAGTGAAGAAATACGAGCGAGGCGACCTGCCCAAGTCAGACTGGCTCGATAAGCTCGCGTTTCGCAAGATGGAGGAAATACATGCAGTGAGGCCTCTCCTAGACGTCTTTCTCGTGGTCGTCTGATTTGTTCAGGCGGAAGCTGCGAAATCCGATCAACTCTACCTCTATATCGACTTACCACGTTTCGACTTCCCTGTCATCTACTGCGAACCAGTACGTTCATAAAAAACACACCCATTCTGTCCACCAACTCCTTCTCACGCGATACACGCAGGAAGCGACTAACCTGCCATCGACGTCGACAACCCATATCGCCGTCAATGCGGTTCCCAGTACCCCGGCGTCACAATCAATCGCCGCCGACCCACATCTATGGGCCGTCATAGATCCAGATGTCGCTCGCGATAATCCTGTGGAGGATAAGCACCGCCGGCTCATCCGAAGCCATCGTAGCAGCCCGTATGATCGTGAACTCAAGCCGAATGCGAAGATCAGGGATGAACTCGGTGTACGTCCGGTTTGCATATCCGAGCCTTATCCTATTCCTGAGTCGCTTTCCCTTCAGCACATACTAGACTATCCTCCGAGTCAGGTCCTCACCCTGGAAGAGAAGGACCTAATATGGAAGTTCCGATTCTACCTGACCCGAGACAAACGGGGCTTGACTAAATTCCTGAAATCGGTCACTTGGCGCGATCCGTTCGAGGTCAAACAAGCAGTCGAAGAGCTATTACCGCAGTGGTCAGAGATAGACATCGACGATGCTCTCGAGCTGCTGGGACCTGGTACCATCGACTCCAGGGTGAGGGCGTTTGCAGTGAAACAGCTCAGCCGGGCGCCAGATGATGTTCGTCATTGGCTAGATAACTGTTACGTTGGCCATTGACCATAATCACAGGAACTGATGTTGTACCTCCTCCAACTTGTACAAGCGCTCAAGTTCGAAAGTACAGCAAACGATGCAAGGACTTCACGTTCGACGTCCGCCGCTATATCGTATGATGACAGTGGACTCGCCGACTTCCTGATCTCCCGCGCGGTGGCAAACCCGGTCCTCGGGAATCGGTTCCATTGGTATCTCATGGTGGAAGTTCAATCCGACGATAAAGTCACGGCAAAGATGTACGCGAGGGTAGATTGGAACCTGAATGCCAAGCTCGTAGAGGTAAGCCCGCAGTGTCACTCCGCCTGACGTTGCTTCTTAACGTCCCTGCAGTCAGAAGGCGGTAAAGAGCGTCGCGGAGTTATGCGACGTCAAGCAGAGTTGGTGGCAACGTTGGGCAAGCGCGCTAAGGAATTACGGGCCTCCAAGGACGCGCGACCGAAGAAGATTGAGAAGCTGCGCGCTTTCATCGCCGACTCCAAGAACAATCTTGTAACCATGGCGCCTCTCCCGCTTCCGCTCAACGCTCGATACGAGGTCACGGGTATTATCCCCGAGAAGTCCAGCGTGTTCAAGTCGAACTTGTTCCCGATGTTGCTCTATTTTTCCTGTTCCGATGGCACGGAATATCCGGTCATCTTCAAGGACGGCGATGACATGCGGCAAGATCAGCTCGTCATCCAGCTTTTCACGCTCATGGATCGTTTGCTGAGGAAGGAGAATTTGGACCTACGGTTAAGTCCATACGATGTACTGGCGACTGGTCCGACCCAAGGGATGGCCCAGTATATACTCAGCAAGACCATCGCGGCTATCGTGAGCGAGCACGGGACGCTGTTGAACTACATGCGTGCCCACTACCCGGACGACGGTAGTGTCGGGACATATGGCGTCGATCCATCGGTGGTTGATACATTTGTGCGCAGTTGCGGTATGTCTTGGCGATCGCGCTTCGATATTGTCGAGGGGCTGATGAAAGCTGCAGCTGGATATTGTGTCGTCACGTACCTGCTCGGAGTGGGCGATCGACATCTTGATAATCTCCTCCTCGCGCCAGACGGTGAGTCTGCCCTCAGACCGTCCTAAACCCTTATTGACCTCGGTATTCGTTGATTCAGGCCACTTCTTCCACGGTATGCCACCATCTGAAGACCACGATTTGATGACTGATCGCTAACTTCTATAGTGGACTTCGGCTACATCCTCGGTCGCGACCCCAAGCCTTTCCCTCCTCCGGTAAAGGTATGCAAAGAAATGGTGGATGCGATGGGCGGAGCCCAGTCCACCCATTACCACCGATTCAAGGGGTACTGCTTTACGGCCTTCACGATCTTGCGCAAATCAGCAAACCTCATCCTCAACCTGGTCGCTCTCATGGTCGACGCGAACATACCAGACATCAAACATCGGGACGTCCACGAGCAGATACAAGAGAAGTTCCGGCTCGACCTGACCGAGGAAGAGGCGATTAAGCACTTCGAGGCGCTTCTCAACGAAACGTCGTATCTGACGGTCGTGTTTGATCGTATACATGACCTAGCACAGTACTGGCGCACATAGTCACATCTTAATGGACATTATCTGCTGATCCCTATGAATTCGTGACCACCGTGTCGAATAGTAATCACAATTTCTTCCACCTATTTTGATCATTAGTCTATGGCGACATTAAAATAGCCATGTTGAGATAAGTATTAGCGCTCCCTTTCTAGGATCGTTTGATTTGTAGTCGGCCGAGGAGGACTAGGGGTCCGATACCTGCGCCTTTGAACTTCTATAACGTAATCATCTGGAAGTATTCCACGTAGCTTCATAGCTTCTTCCCAAATGCTGAAGTCCCCTTGGCATTCCTTCCTCCATTCTTCCATCGCGGTCTTGCGCTTGCTGGGCGAATGCACGACGAAGAATCGTTCGTCTTCCTCCAGCGCCGCCTCCATCAGTTCGTCAAGCGTGCACTGTTCCTGTTTCAGATCGACAGTGATGACCACCATCTTGACGCGTTCGAGGTCGACGTCTTCCAATCCCGAGAACGAGGCAGGACGGGATCTGTCAAGACGCGGTCGCGGGACGCACAGGTGCGTCAGGTTGGGCATGTGCGAGGTGGGGATCTCGCGAGGCTCGAACACCAGGAGCCGTAGGTGGGTTAGGCCCGCGAAGATGGAGCACCCGACGCGGTTCTTCCACCCGGACTCGCGCCACATGAAGTGCAGCCACGGGCCGTTGACGGTCAGCGAGCGGCAGGGGGACTTGAGATGGCCGGGGGGGTAGTGCGAGCAGACGCCCGAGTCATCGGCGTCCGGAACGGGATCGGCGGGCTCGTGCGGCCAGAGATAGGTCGACTGCGTGAGGACGAGCCAGTGGTCGTACGAAAGCGCGAGTCGGGAGGCCTTTCGGCACGCGTCGAAGACGCTCTGCAGCTGCTTGGTGTCCCTGTTCGGCCCGGGGTCGATCCAAAGCGACTGAACGAGGGGTCCGAGATGGCGGGGGAATCGAGGGGCTTGGGGCGCCTCGGCTCCTCGACGGGTCCTCTTGTTATCTAAAGGCGTAGAACCGAGGATCACGGTCGCGAACGCGTAGGGCAGAGCGATCGCGCGGGCCCAGCTGCATGTCATGGAGATGGCCCTCGCGGATGCGGGGGACGATGCGCATGCGATTTGGATGATCTCCAAGACCAGTTCTGTGGGAAGACCGCGTAATGGGCTCTCCTTCGATGTGGTCTTGCGCGAGCGCGCCAACGCGGAACCACCAGTATTAGTTGCCATTCGCCATAATTCAATCTCTAAGTACAAATCAGCCCGTTGTGCATAAGACAGTCCAAAAGCAAGCACCTACAGAATTGGGGAGGCGTAAACTCGCAGGAGAATTTTCCTGGATTCTATGGGAAGATTGTCATGATGACGTCATCGCTCTCTTCCTTTCTGATGTCCTCTCGGGGAGTGGCCGCTCGTCCTCACCGAGATCGTTTCGCTGAATGGCACGATAGTAGTGTACAATATAATGGTACAAATTTCCGAAATTCCACCCCAGCTCACACATCAGATGCCCATATCCTGTCAAGTACTAAGCATCCTGAAGATCACATCCCTACACCTTCTAGCTTTGTTCAAGTTGATGGCTCGAATCAGGATCCGAGGACCTGCTCCTCTTACGCTCCGTAAGACGGACCTTGACGCCGGAGACCTTGTACAACGCGATGAGCTACAAGGCGGACTCCGCAATGAGCAAGGCTGCGCCATCAGGAGGACACACGTATATCATTGTACACACACCTTCGTCAGATCGGTTGATTTCTTCAAGCCCGGGAAGTCCCTGGAGCCCCAGACTCTGAATGCGCCGCCATAGCACTCCGCCAGGACCGGGATCGAGTTCGTCCCCGAGGCCGCGCTCAGGACGTCGAAGACGCGGTAGCGGAGGCAAAAGCAGCCCTCGGTCTTCACCGACAGATCCTGGAAGTCATCCTGCCGTGAGCAGCGCACGAAGGCGTCGCGGTGAAACGAGCGTGGGCACGCACGGGGAACGGGAACATGATCTGCTTGGTCCCCATGTAGTCGATGCGGATCGCTTCGACGAACCGGGAGCCAGCGAGCTGCTCGGTGCACAGCGAGGTGTCCAGCAGCTCGTGGGTTCCTATAACGGCCAGCACTGCCGGCCGTTCGGGGATCGAGCTCGCGCTCGAGGCAGTATGTGCCGGCGCCGACGACGAGGTCGTTGTTTCCGTGGCCCAATCTTTCGGCAAGGAGAACAGATCTGCGTGGCATACGAAACCTTCGATCCTGATCCTGCTGCAGGGGGGATGTTAACGTATCCTGCCGGTGAGCGCGGAGGGGACGATGCCAGAAGTCCGATCACGTACTCGACGTCGTCGATCTCGACCTCCGAGTCTGGCGTTGTGCTTCCGGGACGGGTGGTTTCGACGCGGAAGAACCGGGCCCCGACGACGGGCGGAGGGTCGAGCTGGCGTTCAGCGCTCTGGTTATGATCTTCCAATCAAGTTTTTTCACGGACTGAGAGTGCAAACCGGACGTCTATCTGTGGCCAAGGAGCGAACACGAGTAAGCAGGTCTCTGCGTCCAGATCCCGGTCCTTTCGAGAGACGGATCGCGGTGTGTCGATTAGGCCCCTCACCTTTCACCACGGCCTTCCGCCCCCGTTCCGCCTTCTGCAGCTCGTGCAGCTCGGTGCGGATCGTCAACCCGGTGAAGCCCCCGGCGGAGAACTGGATCGGTTGGCCGACGTCTGACATGGGGATACAGGGGAGAGAGTTTGAGGAGGGTGGGGGTCCAATGTCAGGCCCGGATGGTTTGCTATGTTTGCTCTGGCTGCGCATGATCGCATGAGGTGAGGTGAGAAGGCGAAATGGGAAAGTTGTGTCGGTCGTGTCAAGAGGGGACTTCGCTGAGCCGATATAAGCTAAAAGGCAGCAGGTGGGCGGTAACTCACTGGGGCTTTAGAACGCGGACGCGAACTGAAAAGGGTTGGCGTCTCGACGCGCGGGGCCGGCTTTCGAATGCACATGACACTATATACCGTGAATGCTCTCTCTGGTCGCCACATCTCGGCACGTTGCGTGTGCTCCTGCGTCATCGTCGGTTATCATTGTTATCAAGTAGTGAAACGTCATGTACCTGCAGCTGCTGTGAGAACGATTGTCTTCTCACTCTAGACTCTAGAGGTTGTCTGGGGAGACGATACTGTATCTGCAGCTGCTGCGGCTCCGTAACTATCCGCGCGAAGCCCAGCAGGGCCCCACGAGGACCCATGCTCAAGACCATACAGAAGGAGCCCAAAGCGCGAACCGAAGTAACCCACGAATTCCCGCGAAACCTGAGCATGAAGCCTGCCTGATAATCTCATGTTTTTTAATCCGTGGGAACGGATGGCCTCGGGATTCGGATGCGCCCAAGCCACTCTTGGGCGGCGACGTGTTCTCTAAATACCCCCCTCCATGACGGTACAGGAGGATTCGGCGTCGACAGTGGAGGTTGGGTTGGCATCGGACATCGGGCAATGTTGGAAGGGTCAACTAGCTGGGCCCCTCGACAGCGCTTGCTGGTAGTAGGGCACGATGTCGCCAGCAGCCGTACTTGGATTCGAATTCATACCCGACCGTGCGAGCCCGCGCACGGTTTTGTTGCCTCACCATAAGGCGAACATAATGTGCTGTCTCCTCATCCCGGATACATAGGTTGTTTCTGCCAATCGCTTGGGAAATGTGGGAAAGACGGGGGAGTGAATGAGCTGCTCACGTCGCTCGAGCTTGAGTACATAACACATCATGCACATGACCATGACCCTCCATGACCACTGCGTCGCGTTCCGACTCGGAATATTTCCGTATGCCCCAAGTCGACCGTATCCTCGCCAGAGTCGGGATCTCGAGTGTCGTTGGTACTCAAGCCATGAGCTCCAGTCCGGCAGCCACTCCGTTCTCTGATAAGTAACACATATGCCGCCGCGCTCGTTTCGCGGCCCATGTATAACTTATAAGTGGGGATGGGCAACGCCCAGCCAAAAATTCGACTCCGACGGAACTTCCCACACATAGCACTGCCACGATAATGAAGGGTACAGACACAGTGTCATGTCCGACCAGTTTCTGCAGTCAACCGTGCCAGCTGACGTTTAGGACTGTAGAGAGACTACCAATTAAATTTGATTCTCGAGAGAATTTTCAAAAAAGAATTTCTTTCCTTGTCCTCTGAGTAGTGTAAACTGATATCAGCACAGCTTAAAAGGACCAAACATGAAAATCCATCCTGAACATATTGTCTATTGGCACCCAAAAGAATATTATAGAATGGTTTCGCAATTTTAGAACCTTTGTGGAAGGTACGGCACTTGGTGCAAGAAGAACTCTTTTTGCGGGAGTTTGAGCGTCGAGAGTCAGCCACCAGACTCCGCACAGCCACTTGGCGGTGCTCTGTAAGAGGGAGCGCGTAGTTTGCAGCAACCAAGGGTGTTTAAATTTGATTAGATAGTAAGATATGTCAGTTTATCTATTTTTGAAAGCTTCGCAGAATTTATGACTTGGGAGAAAGGTCGAGGAATGAATTTGGACACCCAACAACGCGCACATCAAGTAAATGCGTGGCAGTGTAACCGTGGGATTGGTTACGCCTACTTCGTAGGCGTTGCCCATCCCCATTATAAGTGATCCTCGCTCAGTCACTCGGATTCTCACCGGACTTCGGACCGGAACGGTCCGACGTTCATGAACGTTCATGGACATCGCTCCATCAGGCAACTTGCCTCCCTTCAAAGCTTTTTTTTCGTCTCTCTTTCCCAGCTGCATCTCTCGGGGTCCCAACCCCTCCTACTCTGATCTTTCTGCATGTAACCCACGAGCCCAATGATAGATCCGTCTTCCTGCGGCCGATCTGTTCGTAAACCTGCGTTTCGGGCGCGTTCAGCGATTCCCCACGCGGGCGGCTTCTAGCTCGCTCCCCACACGTATTATTGACAACGCTGAGTAAGCTATGAACCTTGATCGGGCTCAAGAATCCGACGCGCCCCACATTGGAAACGCGCGAGAGGAGAGTTCATTCATGCATCATCTTTCCGATAATCTCCACCACACTATCGCGTTCTTCTTTCATCGATACAGAGCCTCCACCCATCGTTCTTCTCCAACGGCACCTCGGAGACACGCGTACACCGCCGGCGCTCCATCGAACCTCCGAAACCACTTCTGGACCTTGAGCGCGGGTCGGTTCCGGCGCGCGGGCGAACAACGAAGAGGAACCGCCTTAATCACCATGATTAAAACAGACGTGGCAATAAACGCGCAGTTCGTTTCGTAGTACATAGAAAAAAAAAAAAAACTCGCGATAAAGCCACCACCACCCTCGTTCCTCAAGAAACGAAACACAAAGATGGAAAAATGAAGCATCCTCCCCCCCCCCC